CAGGGGGGTTGGACTAGATGACCCACAGAGGTCCCTTCCAACCCCTACTATTCTGTGATTCTGTGATTCTGTGACACCAGCCACAAGGTTCTCTTTGTTGCCTCAGTCTCTCATTCTTACCCATAGGCTTTGTACATGCTCATGGCTGTTCTTCAGGGACAGCTCTTCACATTCTATCCATTTCTTGATGTAGAGAGCAATGCCTCCACTTCTCTGCCTGTCCCTTCTGAACAGCCTGTAGCCATCCATAGCTGCTCTCCAGTCAAGGGATGTGTCCCACCAAGTTCCAGTAATAGCAACTAGGTTGTAGCTCTCTAGCAGCACGGTGCCTTCCAACTCCTCCTGTTTGTTGCCCATGACACATGCATCGGTGTAGATGCAGTTCAGCTGGGCTGTTGGCCATGTCACCTTCTTAGAGGAACACCCTTCAGTTCCTTTAAGGTATTCCCCTTGTGTTTCCATATTGGCTCCTATCACCTCAGGAACCCCTGGCTCATCTCCAGAAGACTTGAAGTGTGCTCCAGCATAGCCAGCACATCTCAAAGCAACAGGCTGAGGGCCCTCACTAGCACCCCATCCCTCTTGTCCTTGGTGTCTTGTCCCACAGCTGGCCACTGGCAAGCCTGGTATTATTCCCTTCCCACTTCAAGTCTGGTTTAAAGTTCTGTCAGTGAGTCCCGCTAGCTCGTGAGCAAAGACCCTCTTCCTCCTCTGAGGAAGGCGAATCCCATCTGACACCAGCAAGCCTGGTGCCATGCAGGCCATCCCATGACTGAGGAAAACCCCAAACTGTGGTGGTGACACCAGCCACGAAACCATGTATTAATAGACTGAGCGTGTCTGTCTGGTATCTCACTTGTTGCTATACCAACCACCTTACTGAAACATCAGCTCCATACTGCTGCAATCAAGCTGCTTTTGGAACTTCGTGATGTTATGATAAATCCGAAAACGCGTTGTTCAAACTGAGATGGGTAACCAAAGGTCCAGTTATACACACATTTCATACCAACTCTGGCCTGTGGTGCCGCTGGTTAAAACGGAAGCTTCAAGACACTCACTGCAGTGACTCATCTAGAAGTCTTACGTTACGGCGTAAAGCGCTGGGGGCAATGGCATGCACATTTTGATACCGGTGTAACTGCAGCTGTGTACGTACCTGGAATAATGCAGTCAGAAGATAGACGAAAGGCTGGACATGAGCCGGCAATGTGCGTTGGCAGCCCAGAGGGCCAACCGTGTCCTGGGCTGCATCAGGAGAAGCGTGGCCAGCAGGTCGAGAGAGGTGATTCTGCCCCTCTACTCTGCTCTGGTGAGACCTCACCTGGAGTACTGCGTTCAGGTCTGGAGCCCCCAGCACAAGAAGGACATGGAACTGTTGGAGCGGGTCCAAAGGAGGGCTACAAAAATGATCCGAGGGCTGGAGCACCTCTCCTATGAGGACAGGCTGGGAGAGTTGGGCTTGTTCAGCCTGGAGAAGAGAAGGCTGCGGGGAGACCTGATTGCAGCCTTTCAGTACTTAAAGGGAGCCGATAGGAAAGATGGGGACAATCTGTTTAGTAGAGACAGCAGTGACAGGACGAGGGGTAATGGGTTTAAAATAAAACAGGGGAGGTTTAGGCTGACTATAAGGAAGAAATTCTTTACAATGAGGGTGGTAAAACACTGGAACGGGTTGCCCAGAGAGGTAGTGGAGGCCCCATCCCTGGAAACATTCCAGACCAGGTTGGACAGGGCTCTGAGCAACCTGATGTAGTTAGCGGTGTCCCTGCTCGCTGCGGGGGGGTTGGACTAGATGACCTCTAGGGGTACCTTCCAACCCAAAACTTTCTATGATTCTATGATTCTAAGATTGGCACAGTCAAACTGGAGTTTGGGTAGCAGACTACATAAAATATGTTATTCAGTTACCATTCTTTATGTGAAGCTTGCATGCTGTTGAGACAGACCGGTTTAACTGTGTCGCTTCACAAAAGGGAAAAGCGGATTTGAGAAGTGCAGTCACTCAGGTGTGATCGTGCCACCTGCTGTACAGACAGCGAGGAGTTTCCAGACGTCATACAAGTGCCGTTATTTCGGCAAATCATTTTTGAGAGGGGAAATTTGTTATGCAACAGTATAATGCCAGAAAAATGCATGTTACATTTCGCTGGGTTTTTTTCCCCCCCCTTTCAGACAGTGCCTGGACATTGCTCTGCATCAGCTCTCCCTTCCACTGATGCAAAAGAAACCTGACCGATTTCCCTTGCAGAACATGTAAAAACCCCACAGAAGAAACCGAGAACAGTAAAACAGCTCATACCATTCAATTTCTTTCTTACACTACACAACCTGATCACTTTTCAAGAATTAAAGAGACAGTATAGCTGGGCAAGACATAACCTAAATGCTAAAAATACATTGTTCTGATAAAATATTTAACATGGTGCAAGGAAACTCACTCAGATGTTATTTAAGTTACTCAAACTGATTTATTGACAATTTAAATGTGACATATTTACAGCACTGTTTCTAAAATAATTTAACAATTTTCATAGATTTATAAAAGTACTGATAAATAGGAGACCCTGACAATTACCAACCACAAATATTTCCCTATGCTACCGAACTACAACAGTAGTTCTTTTCTTTTTTCTTTTTCTCTTTTCCTCTTTTTGTAAGTCCCATAATGGAGCTGCTTTACCTCCACCCAACGTGTAAAATGGCAAATACCAAAATATAATAAAATGAACATGCAGTGTGAAAGCTGTACCAGAGAAGTGATTTCAGATGTTAGACTACAGTAAAATATTTCAATGCAAAGTGTCTTCCACACAGAACGTACTTGTGAAAAAATAAGCTTTTTAAAGAGCTGTTCTTTTATCTTTATAGAAGTTAAAACCTACAATACTAGTTCAGACATTTACAGTAACTTCCAATTCTGTGCTAGTTTTCACATATATCTAAAGAGTCAAACAAAACCAGTAATTTACAAACACCACAGCCTTAAGACAGTGGTTAGTTAGCTTATGGATAAAAGAAGAAGGTGCTGATATAATTTAAGGTTTTGAAATTAGATTATATTTCATTCCTTTATGACACCAATTATTCTATCCTTGGATCAGCAAATTATTGTGGTAAAGCCATCCGTATCTCTCAAGCAGGAAGTCAGTTTGGAAGTTGGAGAGAAGATGGACTTCTATGATATGTATCTTAGGTTACAGTAGACAAAAGTATCGCAAAGCTGGACAACCTGAATCACAATAAGCAGCAGCAAGAGATATTTGTGGGGTTTTGATTAAAGCAAACGTTTTTCAAAAACGATGAAGAGTACACACTCCGTCTAATCCAACACTTGAAATGTAAAGGTTCTTTTCATTCGCATCACTGAAGCCCCGTAACACAGCGTACACAAACAACAAACACTCATTTTTTTAAAAAACATATATTGCACAGCTAGTAGGTGCAATACCAGAACACTGGTATCCCTAGCGTAAGTCTTCTATTTTAAATAGCTGTTTTGAACTACGCTATTCAGAACAACTCCAAGCCAACGTCCAAAACCATTAAGAATGGTTTGTGTACATACCTAATCCAAAAGTGTTTCAACAATGTGAGAAAAACCACAGAGGCACTTAAGATTATTAGTGCACCAAAAGTTATAGGCCACAATTGCATGACTCTGAACAGTTCAGTACCAAGGACGACAAAACCAAACGAGCAGGTCTTCCACCGATCAATACTGAAACAAGAACTGTTCACAAAGCACTGATAAGAAAACCATTCTCAGAACAGTAATCGAACGATACGTTTAGACATTTAAGAAAAATAATTGCTGCAAAGCCTAATGTAACACAATACAAACCCTACTTGGTTCAAAAGATCTAAAGTGTCCAAATTCAAAAGTCCAATTTCTCTTCTTCCCCCCTCCAAAACACCATTACATGCAGTCCATTAAAATCCAAATGTGCAAAAAGTTATAACCCACCTTTATGAGTGCATCAAAAATAGGCTGACTATTCAAAATATTATTTTAGTGGAAATTTTACAGCACCATAATGAGAATTCCAAGGGAGTTCAGAATTCTTGTTCTGATAACAAATCTGTTGATACTGTTGATCCTAGAGAACAGAAGAAACATTTTGTGCATTTCCTGGTATCTGAAAGTCACGGAGAGAAACAATTCTCATGTGTGTCTAAAAATCTTACTGTAGTTCAAAGTGAAATTAAGTAATCCCATTTGTTGGCAATAAATTCTCTGCAATATGGTATTAGTTGTAAATCTAGTAAATGTGCCAGATTAGGAATGAAAAGTTGCTGGTACCTTGCTTAGCTGCAGAAGTACCTTTCATTTTTGCCTTTCTTTTTTGTTTGGTTTTTTTTTTTTTTCTTCCCTAAATTGTGCAGTTTGGCCCCTCCTTAGTAAGTGATTTACTGTTAGGCTTTGAGAAAACACGCAATGTCTGTTTCTGACCCTCAGCTGAAAGGCAACATACAAACACATTATATATACACATGTGTGCACAGAAACACACACATACATATATATAAAAAAATCAGTGTTCCGGTTTTTTTGTTCTCAATTCCTATAATTTTCTTTGGTTAAAAGTCCGAGCGAGGAAATTAGAGGACGGAACAAATGGATCATTCTCCAAACACTTCCACCACTACACATCGCTAACTGGAAGGCTTGCATCATCCAGATCCACCAGGCCAGGATCCTGTTCCTGAGTGCCATTTTTACTTTGGGGTCCCGACAGGCCCCATTCAGTCATTTTGGAAGCTGATTCTCTTGGAGCGACAACCTGGATCTTGTAGCTCCCTGGCTTGGCCTTGGTAAAAGATTCGTGAAATCCTCGCTTCTCCAAGGCAGGGTATTTGGCGTGAGGGTTTGGGACCAGAGGGCTGCCGTGAGCGGCTGTGGAATGTGAGGTGGCTGGGGCTGGGACGGCAGAACAGAGAGCATGGTTGGGTTCGGAAGAAGACTCGGGATGCTCCTGGAAAAGAAGAGCACGTGTTAGATGAAGTCATTGACATCATGTTGGAAAGATGCAGTTTCAGATTTCATTCTCCGGAAAAAAAAAATCCAAGGCAGAAAATACACAAAGCAAAGCATCAGCCACAGCAGCAGGAGGCAGGTGCTTTCTCAAGGCAGTGAATTATTAAATGTGAGCTTACAGCAGTATGTGACAGCAACATCAGTGTCTTCATTTGAGGAAATTAAATTTCTCAAATCAAGCTCAGCAGCTCTTCAGACCTTACAATATAGCCCAGCAAACTGAAGCTTCTCATTTTACTAGGATGTTAAGGAACCTTTTGAAGATAGGCACTTTAAAGGCCATTGAAAGTGACGCCTTTCCACAAGAAAAAGTGTTCAAGCCTATTCATATACATCAGGCACTCATCCTAAAACCTGAATAATGCACATTTTACTGTTCCCTCTTCTTGAGGTACCAACCTTCCCAATTTGTTTCAGGGACCAAACAAAAGCAGTAACTATTTTATGCTACCCAGACTGTATAACAATTTTCAAAGTTAACGGACCTAGAAAAGAAACTGATCTTTATGCTATTTCTTCTAAGTGTCAAGTTATTTTCTTGCCTTTGTTATTGTGAACTGTCATTCTGCTGACCTCTTTACAAAACTGTTAGATTGCTACTGTGAAAATAATCTTCCACCATTCACTCACTGGTAGAAACAAGCTCCCAGACTACCTAGGAATGATTTAGATGTCGAAAACAGAGCCACAGATTGCCATTTCAGATCCTGCCTGACCTACAGCTGTATCTTCCAGAACCCAAAATTCCTCAGGTTCTGCATCGTATCTATCAGTTCTGTAAGGAAGTCTCAAACACCTAGGGACACCTGAATGGACATAGCATTAAATGATACGAGCAACATGACGTGCGATGACGCAGCGAATACTTCACTCCGCATGCATGAGGAGCTGCAGCTGCTGCCACTTCGGCCATCACCAGTGTTAGTACATGAACTGAAGAAATCTGCGAACCCATGTGTATACACAAACCAAGTCACTTCTCAAGCACATTTGTTAGCAAAAAAAACCATCACATGTGTGTCCAAGATGCAAATATACATCCTAAATGAAATACTTAATTTTTACAGCAGTTTTCCAAGTTTCTTTTAGAATGCTGTGACATGAATTCACAAATCTGACCATAATAGATTCTGCCAAGCGCTACTGTATTTCTTTTTATAAATTAACTAGTGTCACTGGGTGAAGGAGCTGTGCAACTTTTTTTACTTCAGTTTTGCGTTCAATTTCAGTGAACTATTTCACATTATTTACATTGCCATATTTCATACCTGACTTGATACTCCACTTCAGGAAAAACATTTGCTTTAGAACATACGATTCAGTGATTTACCTACTATCCTTCTGGATAAATTTAGTCCAACAAATAGGACGAAAGTAAGGGATATTAGGACAAGATCTCTATAATAAACATTTTGCTAAATTGAACTGAAGGATACTTGGATTTTACTACCCACACTGACTGTAATTTCACAGTTAAGAGACTACGTTTCTGTATCACTCCTAAGGTGCACTGCTTTGAACAGTGTACCGATTATACCTTATAATGCTTCTACGTTTGAACTAATAATTTCATGCAGAGACTTATAAGCCATGCAAATCAGGCTACAATATCACCCTTCCAATTACTAGAGTTATGACGTGCGTTTTTTCTGTGCACGTACCTGTATTAGTTTGTGGGTAGCTTAAATTTAATTTTGCTTTTGCGCAGTTTCAAAAAAATGTAAAGTAAAATGGAAATATGAACTCTCATGCAAATTAGTTTTTATACTGCCCTATTAAAGTGACATCACATAACTTACATTTAAATATATAGTATGCTTTGAAGTATAAACACATTTTTAATTTCCAATTATTTTAAAAGTAAGAAAAAAAACACAGTGCAAACCTGTAAGTGAATGATATAACTTATGAGTTAGTTTTCAGTAATGGTAATGACAACAGGTAGCATTATTTTTAGTTTTTTATAGTGCAAATTAGTCTCTAGTGCCAGCCCTCTGTTAAGAAGGCAAGTTTACATGAGAGCCCACATACGTGCTGCATTCACCAGTTCTTGATGTATACCTCTGTATACAAGGATTCGACAGCCTTCTGGCCTGCCGCATCTGGAACACAGTGCAAAGCTAAGATTAGAGTAACCTATACTTGGGGAAAGAAGAGAGGGAAAAGGAAAGAAGTGATGCAGACAGTAATAGCTAGATTGCTCAGCCCCACAAAAAAAAAAAGCATACACAAAGAAAAGGTATCTGCATATGTTCATTCCCCCAAAAAGAAACAAATTTTGATAGGAAGTTTTAAAAGCCTGAAGCAGCTCCCAGCTGTAAAAAATAATTGAGAGCTTAGACTGAATTAACAGAAACACAGTATCAACGCAAATGTGTAGACAAAAGCCAGATTTAAATTATTAGATTTCAGATTCTGGGGGTAATGATATATCCAGCTTACTACAAAACATCCCACAGCCAGAAAGTGAAAACCATTGCCTGCAATATTCGAACTGTAAGGTACTCCATTTGTTAAATCCGGACATACCTGGAGACACTGGGGCATGACAATAACCTTCACTACTTTTCATAAGTTAACGTGGTTTGTACTGAACATCTACCACAGTTTAAACGCAAGCACGTATGAAATGCTGGCATCCCCACGGCTTCACAAATACTAAGATTTGTCACAGTGCCTCAGTTCAGTAGTGCTAGATGGTGTTCACACGATGTTTTCAACAGCAATAACTAATTCATGCGAGCAGAGATCTCTTAGAGAAGTTACTTTAAATTTAAATCTGTATCTGCATATAAAATAAACTGTCAACGATGGAAAACGACAATTTAGTAGTGAGCGTTGTTAAAAACAAATTAGGATATTGTCATTTCATTGCAAAATTCAGCAATTAGCGGAAACACCTCGCAGGAATTAGAAAGTTGCAATTTTACTTCCAAACTAGTAGTAGTGACAAAGATCATACTGAACTCAGAAGAATTTTTCTAGGTTAGCACTTGCATTATCTACGTGTTCATGACAACACAATGCACATAAAGTTACATACAGGTAAGACCAAGAAAAGTGCTCAATTAAAACTGCAAAATATTTTATGCCAGTCCATATGAAAGTTCATGCAAAGATGCCACCTTACTAAAGGACAGGACAGAGGACAGATGAAAGGAAAAAGCAACTAGAACTTCATGTGCACAAGTGAACACCAACTAATCACATTTTCTCTGAGGTACAGAGTAACATACGGAAGCTGCTGATCTTCCAGGTCCCCGCTGTGCTACGATGGCGCCAGAAATTGCTTTTATCCAACTGTGCATGTCTTCTGGACTGTCCGCCTAGATCAAACAATATGAATTATGTTTAACAATCAACTCCCAGCTCTCCCAGTGTCCTGACCATCCGCATTAAAATGACAGCCTTGCCCGACGTTAGCAGTCCGTTACTCAAAGCCATAGGGACTTCCATTTCTTAACCCAGACAGTTCTTACAATCTTACCCTGATTTTAGCATTATCTGTATATAGTTATATAAAATAATAAGCAAGAAATAAGTATTTTTACACTATGTGCACACTCTAGACTCCAATTTTTATTTCCCACAAACAAAAAAATTAAGGCACCCATAGAAATTCTTACAGGAGATCTGCTGACCCCTCTTAGTAGACTCGGGCCAACGACATCACTTCTGTACTTTTCGGTCACTGTTCCACTTTACCAGGTATTTACTGGAGAGTTACAGTCAAACAAAAATCAGACTGTCAGGGTTCAGCTGTGCATTTACTTAGAACAGCAATCCAACAAAAATGGAATAGATTAACAGCGAATACCAAGGGTGTGCGTATCTGGGATAAAGATAGATAAAAAGCTAAAGCTGTCACCTAATTAGGTTGCAGCTTTATTAAACCAGCACATCCACCCAGCAAGAAACATCTGCAACATGTCACTTAATTGTGTTCAGCTACAGGACAGCTCGTAACTCAGCACCTGGCACCACTGCCTGTATTAGACTATACAGGCCTTTCTGATCCTACAGGAGGAACTCAAAAATTATTCCCGGTACTACAAGCGTTACATTCCTACACAGCCAGGAAAAGCAAATCTTTGCAGTTTGTATTCTATCCAAACATTTAGAAGGTGACATGGTAAGGACACAGTGAATAAAGTCCATATGGATACATATTACAAAATAGGTACTGAAATCTAAACGATGCTGTGCTTTGTGGAAATTTTAACGTGGCAACTAACTTGAATCTGAGAACTCAATTATTATACATAAAAATTCAGTACTTTAAAATAAAAGATTTAATATATTGAGTTGATCCTACAGAATCTGAAGACCTGAATACCAACAAAATCACACTAGGATTTATTGTTTATGATTTTCATACAGTACCAACACTTGCTGTTACGGGAAATATTTCTTACATGCATCTTTCTGAAATATAATGAAAATCACATTCCCTCTGAAAATCACAGCGTAGTTAAATACAACCTTAACAGCAAAATAGCAGCGCCTCTCTGTTTTGACTACAGTAGTCTCTTGGTTTTGCCCAAAGTTTAAAAAAAGAAATTACCTGTACATAAAAGGTTCGAGAAGTTGTTACAATTTCAAAGAGATTGTCTCTCATCATTATATCACTGCAAGTAAAACACAAAAATACTTCAAAAGCAAGCACAACTCTCCCACTTTACTTAAAAAAAAACTCTAGGATGTGCAAAGAAATAGAGGTCTGAAGACCTTTGCATTTCTTTATTACTCTGCTGTTGGTTTTTTTTTAAACACCAAGTAGAAAAAGAAAATCAGCATCTCTTAATTCATTGTAGTCCTAAGACTCTTCAGTTTATCAGTGGCATGTGTGCTACTATATATATTTTCAACTGGAACACTGTAAGACGTATCATGCTAAGTTTAAAAATATTTATTGCTCTAGTCAAACGTCTGTAAAATTTCACATTTATATTTTGTTATGTCTTTGCAAACTATTAGTCCTAAACAGTAGCCTGCTAAAAAAAATTCAATATCCATCACAACTACTGCAAAGGCAATTAATTCCTTAGTATATTGCTATTTGGTGGGAGCGAAACAGCAGGAGGAAGAGCATTCTTATCTAAATTCAGACATTTAACATAATTTAGAGATTATATAAGCAGAACAGAGACTCCTAAAATTGCTGCCTCAAATCAGGCAGCACCAATGCATCTCTAACTCATGATTACATGATACTTCTTTGTTCCACCCTCGTCCAACGTATTTACATTCTACTGAATGTTACAAGTTTGAAACGCACACTAATACAGAACCCTCAGAACCAGTTTTATGCACAAAACTACCTGCTGTCCTATAAATACAGAGTACCACACACACGTGCATCAAACAAAGTAATTAAAAAGTTCTCTGTTGTTTCCAACGAGCAGGCTAGCCGTGGCAAAGCAGTGTACCACATCCCACGTAATGCCATCAGTGCTGCTCTCCTCACCTTTGTTTGCACTCCTGAACTTTATGGACCTCCTTAAGTGGTATAACCCTGAGAGGTTCCTTTTCCTGAAAAAAAAAAGGCAAAAGTATTTTAGTAGCATATACCTAGCAACTGGAATATGGTCAGAAAGCCAGAGGTCAGGACAGCTGACAGCAGCAGACATATACATGAGACTTTAAAGGCAGTCACTTATGCAAAAGCTGGTGTCAACCAAAATTTAATTTGCTTTTGTAAGTATTAAACCAACCATGGCACTTGCAATGAAGAGGAGGTCAAATCAAGGAGCAAAAAACCCCAACACATTCATTCACCTTACCATAATGGAGACAACCACCCCTGTCCCCTTCCCCTAACCAGATCAGGAAACTGAATCTGGTCTCAAGCAGCTTATTTCAGTAAAACCATGATTATATTCATTTGCTATGAAATGCTACAATATAAGCTGCTTTGTTAATTGCACAGTATGACATAGCTTTAAGATTAATTGTATCCTATACTCAATACAATTAAAAATACAAAGAAAGCAATCATACCAAAACCTGTAAAAGAGCAAATATTCTTAAAGCGTATGAAAATTCTGCTACCATAACAAAAATAAGCATTGCAATTCTGTCAAGGTTTCACACAACAGGAAAAAAAGTGAGAAACAATCAGGCAGAAATACTTTCACTCTTGCCCTGACAACCTAACGTTACACATACTATTCGTTTCCTGTGGTTGCTGCAGTAAAACACAAACAATCAACAACTTATTTTCCATCCTAACATGTTTTCTTTAAGCAACGTTACAATAGACTACTTGAGCTGGCTTCATCTTACAGACAAAACACAAGCTGTTAGCTCTAGAATGACTCCTCTCTCTACAATTTCTATTACACTGACTTAAGAGGTTTATGTTGTTACAGCAAACAGCGCATGTCGCCCAGCTACAACCACCATCAAATGTCACTTTTCATTAGGTCACTTCTGTCTATAGCAGATCATATGTGCAGATTTTAAAGCTCAATGTTTTCAGTTATTTTGCCCCTCTTCCCTCCACTCCTCTCCCTGGGTTCACTCATCCACCATGGAGTTTTCAAAGTAACACATCAAACATGAACTGCAAGATCATCCCTGGAATACAGACACCTCTTGCAGGGAAATTATAATTTTCTGAGTCTGATATTGCCTATTGTATTCCACCATGCTCCACCTGAAGACTGACAAGGCTCTTCCTCAAACTGAACAGGAGATCGTTAAGGTGGGGGACAACGCTTGACACCAAACAACACCACAACCGCAACAAAAAAATCTCTAGAATCTACACATTTATCAATTAAAAAACCAACATTTTTTACATTTTTAAGAGCAGACAACTCGGATCTATTTCTACAGATGCAAAACCAATAGCATCTCAAGATATCCAGCAAGTATATCTTGAGGCTGGAGAGCTGGGCAGAGAGGAACCTGATGAAGTTCAGCAAGGGCAGGTGCAGGGTCCTGCACCTGGGGAGGAACAACCCCATGCATCAGTACAGGCTTGGGGTGGACCTGCTGGAGAGCAGCTCTGCGGAGAGGGACCTGGGTGTCCTGGTGGACAACAGGTTAACCATGAGCCAGCAGTGTGCCCTGGCTGCCAAGAAGGCCAATGGGATCCTGGGGTGCATTAAGAG